GGTCTGTGTGGGTTGTACTTCAACCCCGTAGGAATGGCACAATTTTTCAGGACCTCATGGTGCCGGCGGCTCCCAAGCTTTCCCAGCAGCGTGTAGAAGCAGGAGCCCAAGGGGTTTTCTGTCCTCCAGGGGATGGGACACAGTTCACTGACTAAGGACAACTGTCCGGCTCCTCTTGCAGTCGGCGAGGAAACTACACCGTCTCCTCTTGCACAAAGCCTGGGCGCCAGCAGAGGATGACTGGAGGGCAAGAAGAAAGGGTGGAGAGCAGAGAAAGGAAGTCCTGAGGAAGTGCCAAAAATAGACTTTGGGACCAGAGCATGGCACCCCATCAGACTCAACTGGAAAACACTCCTAAAGGTCAACAAACAGCCCTTGAACAGGTTTACAGTTTTTTCTTTCTTATTTTTTTTTGTCATTGATTTTTGTTGTTGTTTTTTCTTTTGTTGGTTTGTTTTGCTGTCTTGTTTTTGTGCATATTATTATCTCCACAGGTCTATCTAAAGATAGGCTGTATAAACAATCTGGAGAAAACAACAGGACCGATGGTTCTGGGGGGACATGGGAGAGGGGGAGGTAAAGGAAGGAAGTGGTGTTAACAAACCCAGGGACAAGGGAACAACAAGTGATCCAAAATCAGTGGTGAGGAGGGTGCAAGAGGTCTGGTAGGGCTTGATCAAGGGCAATGTAACCGAGAGGAATTACTTAAACTCAAATGAAGGGTGATCATGATAGTGGGAAAAGAGGAAAGTTAAAGGAAACAGGAAAGAACTAGGAGGAAAAGGGCATTTATAAAAGTCTAAATACAGGCATGTACATATATAAATATTTTTATATATGATGGGGTAATAGCTCTATGTGCACATATGTACAGGTTTAGTATTAAGGTAGCAGATGGACATTGGGCCTCCACTCAAGTACTCTCTCAAAGCAAGAACACTTTGTTGTATTAAACAGACTTTAGAATTATTTGGGGGGGGTATAAAAAAATAAACTGGCATCCCATGATGCTCACCTTCCCGACACAATACCTGAAGACAAATGGGTGCATAAGCAAATGTGGTGAAGAAAGCTGATGGTGCCCATCTATCAAAAGATATAGTGTCTGGGGTCTTAAGGGCTTGAAGGTAAACAAGCGGCTATCTAGCTGAGAAGCAACAAAGCCCACATGGAAGAAGTATACCAGCCTGTGTGATCACAAGGTATAGAAAGGATCAGCTATAAGGTATCAAAGAAAAAAAATCGTATCATTGTGAATGAGGGTGAGTGTGGAGTAGGTACACAAGGCCTATCTGTAGGCAACTGGACATCCCCTTACAGAAGGGTCTCCGGGAGAAGATGAACCAGTCAGGGTACAGTGTAGCAACAATTCAACATACAACTTTCCTCTAGTTCTTAAATGCCTCTCCCCCTCACTATCATGATCCCAATACTTCTTTTTTTTTT